GAGTTGATTTGAGTTAGCGTGATCCATGGCGTGATTGTCATAATTATAATAATTCTTATTTCATAAATTATTACGCAGATCAAGCTGCAAGCATGGAGGTAAAAAAAGAACAGAGGTGTGAATTCGACATTCAACACCAATCACCAAACAATCAGAAACTTTTAGCCTTCGAAAATGAAAACAATTAGAAGTGTGTAAGGGCTGTGTAATTTCCTGTTTGTCCGACACTTCGTTTTCGTGTCACTGTCAAAATTATTGCTACCTTTTACCTGACAGGGACTAAACGATAATCACGATCGCAAAAAAAGTCAACTCATTTGAAACACTTGCCTGACGTCTCTTTCTCTCTTCTAAAATCCGCCTCGGTGATCATGGGCTGGTCCGGAATCTATTTCTTTCAAAAGTGTTGCGCCAGGTTTACGTTAAGTGGCTTTCGTCCACTGATGTTGCACCTTCGGATCGATTAGAAACGTGTGAATACATACACTATGACTATACGTTTCACTGCAACTGCCCACAACACAACACAACAACTAAAAACTCTCTCTCAAAAAAAAAATATACAAAAAAAAAGAAGAAAAAACTCCGACCGAAAAATGTATATCATTTAAAACTATACTGAATGACCAGTGTTCTTACGGCTCGGGGGTATGACTTCCTCTCACATTTTTGTCATTTGGTGGCGCACTATCGGTGAGAGTCGGAAATCCGGAAACAGTCGACCGTTTCATGATAGGTGGGCGTGGCTACAACACAAGAAATATCCCAAATTTATTTGGATACGAGTAATCATTTTCAGCAAAAAAATCAATAACTGCCCATTTCAGTGGGACACAGATCTAAAATAGGAAACGTGAGGGTGGGCATAATAATAAATAATAAAGATAATTTATTGCATCCTTAGAAATACAGTGTTTCCATCAGTTTATAGCAACAAAAGTAAAATATTAAAAAACAAAATAACAAAATAACTATAGCAAATAATAAATGATAGATTTTAGTGTTTTTGTTAAGTATCTTTCTCGTTTCTCATTAAGAACGAGCTGTGTATAAATTCTCCAACAAGTTTGATTACATTTGTGTTAGAATTTTTCATTAAGTATGTAAATTTCTGTTGGTCAGTTTTTGTTTCATCAGGAAACTGTATATTTGAGAATATATCCATTCGCAGTGTGTGATATTTTGGGCATTTGATGAGGAGATGCATTTCATCTTCTATGTCTGCTAAAGTACATTGTTTACAAATCCTGTTTTCCAAAGAAATTTTAGGTTGGGTATGTCTACCCTTTTCTATTGCTAGGCTGTGATTACTTGTTCGGAATCTAGAGACAGAAATTCTATGTTTTAGATTCAGTATAATTAAGTAACTTTCAAAGTTGTAGTTTGTTTTGAATTGAGTATATGTTCTCAACTTAGGTTTATCCATAATTGTCTCCTTCCAGAATTCAATATATTTTTGTTTAATATTGTTTCCTATTCTCTTTATATTTTGTTTTGTTGCATTCAATTTGTCATTGATATTCTTTATATCTAATGTGTTATCTTCCTTATTTAACTCTTTGTAAATTGACATAATCCATGGGAGTTTGCAGTTTATCTGTTCATGGTATGCCTGTTTTGTTAAATTACATTCTGGAAGTTCTTTGATCCGTGCCAAATACTTTATAAAATTTATTATGATGTCTACTAGTAATGGTAGTTCACCTATTTCTGCTCTACAAGCTAGATTTGATGAAAATTTATTCAATCCAAGCATTCTTTTACTAAATTTCAGATGGGTTTTCTCGATTGGTGTAATGTCCCATTTATTATTTTCTTGAATTTCGAAGCCCCATACATCTGATCCATATAATAGTATTGGTCTTATACATGTTTTGAATAGGTGTAACATTGTTTTGCATTGTTGTGCATTGCACAGGCACTTTAAGTAGGTATATGTTGAGACAACTTTTACCGGTTGGTCTCCTAAGTAAAATTTGCCATCTATCTTTCTTCCTCTGTTATTAAAAATAATAATTTTAGTTTTGTTAATATTAACTCCAAGTCTCCATTTGACCCAGGTGTATAAAACAATGCTCAACTTAGTTGGCAATATGGCTGTTTTGGCAGCATATAATGATATTAGTGAAAAAAAAGTTGAGTTGAAAAAAACAATTGTGGTGGCAAAAGTGTGTGATGTTAAATTCCATGTGTCAACTGAGCATGTATTTTGATTCTACGATTCTTTTGTGGAATTGAATGGGACGTTAAACAAAGAAATGGCAGATCATTACTTTCAGTGTTCCGCTCACAGATCTGCGGCCTCCATATTTTATCTCAGATCGGACGAGTGTAATGGTTTCATAAATTTGGTGCCTCCATGATTTTTTGTTGATAGCAACGGCAAAAAGATTGTTGAAAATGTTATTCATCTCAACCATTTAGGTCAGCGCTATAAAACTGGGGGGCGAGTTGGCAATAAAATGTCAAATTCGCGGGGATTTTTTTGAAACTGTGAGGTCAGATCACCATACCAACACAGTTTTAGGACGTTCACGGGCAGTTGGGTGAAACTAAATTGGTGTAGAAGTTCCCGGGAAACTACCTACCTTAGGTTGGCATCTGGAATGAAAGAATCAGTCAAACAGGACTTCAAAGCTTCTTTGAAAAAAAAACGCCAATCCAACAACACTTAACTTCCTGTGAAAATACGTGTCGATAGAGGGCGCTCGATCTGAACATTGACATTGTTTCATAAAAGTCCTATCTTTTTTATTTACCTCTTGTACGTTTGGCATTTTTATTCCATCGTATGTGGTGGCCATTTATTTATTCTACTGTATGATACAATAACGAACTTGAGATTATCGCAAAGTGTCAAATTCCATATGTTATTACATTCTATTGATTGTACTATTTTGCCACCTGTCTCGTGGGAATCTACCCAGTTCTCCATGAATACCCATAATGTGTTGTTACTCAACGAATGAACCACAAAGCGGAAGTTTGCCAGCACCCACGGCCCCTCTGTGCAGCACCTTATGTTAACAAACAAATAAATAAACTCTAACATTCCTGCAATTTGATTGGTACCGACAAAAATCGTCGGGGGGAAGTGAAAATCTACATGGTTCTAACAGACGTGTGTTGGGTTTGGAGCACCGCGGAGGGCGCAACTCACGCGATCTTGTCAGACGAGGAAGAAATGTGTTAAAGGGGAACCGCTCAATCCCATGGATTGCACCAAAGAATCATGGGACACTATTGTTTATGTTGTTTACAATGTTAATCTATCTTTTGTTATCCATTGTTATTTTAATCCAGAAAGTAAATTTGTTGTGAAATTAAGCCTAACTGGAAGGTGCCCCTTTAACTCCATATTGGATTTGCAAAGGAATATGGGACAGAAACGTAAACACACTAGAGGGCGGGGTTTTTTTTTGGGGGGGGGGCTTAAATCTTCTCAATAGAGCCCCATGTTGAAACCAGCTTGTTATCTTCTCTGTTCTCAAGAAGCACGTTAGTTTTTTTTATAATTATTATGGTTATATTTTTTGACTTTTTTTACTGGGAAGATTGTTTTGAATTTTTTTTACTGTTTTTGCCTGCAAGCTGTCCAACTATAGGAACTGTAGTGACAGGTACATATGTATCTGATTTCTACTCATTCATACATTCATACAGAATGTTAAAAAATGACTGCTCATATGAGGAGTATTTTTCAGTAATAAAAGACTTTAAACATAGATCAGCAGTAACAAAACTAAAAATTAGTGCTCATGTTCTACAAATAGAAATGGGTCACAACAATAAAATAGATGCATACAAAAGGTAATGCCCTGTGTGTGACCTAGACAAAATTGAAGATGAAAAACATCTTCTGCTTAACTGCAAATTATATGAAACGGAAAGAAACCAACTAAACACTAAGTCAAAAGTGTCACTCCCAAATACGACAGATGAAGAAAAAAGTATAGCTATGATGAACAACAATGAAAATAAAACAATTATAAAACTAGTTAAATACATATACGAATGTTTCAAAATTAGAGAAAATAACATGAAAAAGCCTTCATTCTCATCCAAATAAACAACAATATTAATATCAAGGCATATCTGGAAGTTTTTTTTCTGTTATCATCATTTTTATGATATTTTATCTTATTGTCTCTTGTTTTTTCTTTCATCCACACTTTATTGAAATTTAACTCAAGATCCTACAAAGGATACGATATCAATAAAGTTTATTATTATATTATTATTATTACATGCTTATTTTCGTTTGATTATTTACCGTGTCATAGTAAAAAAAACACATACATCTATCTTGTTTACTAACAATTTTTTTTTATATTGTGAAGTCCTCAGTTGTTTTAATTCTGTCAAACACTTATTAAAATGTCTTCTAAACCGATTTAAATTCAACCAAAGTAATAAAGGTTTGTTGAGTGAAAAAAATCGCTCAAAAAACGAATTGGAAAGTGCGAAAGGCGATAACCATCAAAATATAAAAAATAACTACATGAACTCTATAAGTCAAGAAAAAAATTACTACATGAACTCTACAAGTCAAGAAACGGAAATGCAAATGAATCAAATACACCAGATGAACGGTTGGTATATTATGAAAGGTTGTTGAATTCATAGTCAAAAGAGAATCCTAATTCAGTCTCAACCGAAAATGAAGTTGATTTAAAACTTTTAGAGTTAGAAAAACCTGACCACCAAGTGTACTAATTTAAAATTAGAAAAGCATTTAAACGATTAAACAATAACAAAAAACTGCAGAAGACAACATATCGTAATGAAATTCGTAAATATGGGCAATCTTGTCTCATTGATGACATAAATTGTACAATATCATTTTTAGTAATAATAATTTCCCAGAAACATTGGAACATGAGTTCCGGTATGATTGTGTCCATATTAAAATTAGTATCTAAATCCAATCCTTGAAATTACATAGCCATTTCAAGTTGCAATTGAAAAGTATTCACAAGTATAACCAATAAAAAATAGCACTCTTTCTAAACAGTTCGGATCATTAAAAGGGGTTGTCGCATAACAGACAATCTAATTATTTTAGTAACAATACATAAATACTTTATCTTCATTCCTCAATGTAACAGCAACTACCAAAACCAACTAAAACAAGTCATTGAAAATGTTAACATATGTGTGTAACGACCGAATTTGAGATTCTGGGATAGGGAATACAGCAATTGCAACTCTTTGTAATTGTATTGTTGCAAAAAAAAAAAAAATTGTCATGGACATGTATCCTAACAAGTATAATTTACGTACCAAGTTTGAATAAAAAACTTGGCAAAGCATGTCCAAAATACGACATTTAAAAAAAAATAAGATGGCTGCCAGTCGGCCATTTTGAATCGAATCGCTAAACCACTGCATGTGCATATGTCCCACATTAAGTACTAGGCACATGCAAAAAATGAACGGAATCGGTCCAAATGATTCAGAAATATGACTCCAGACGGACGCACTGGCGGTCGGGGGACACGTATCCTAACATGTATAATATATGTACATGTACCAAATTTGAATGAAAACTGACAAAGCATGTCTAAAATACAACATTTTCAAAAAACAAAATGCCTGCCAGTCAAACGGTAACTAAAAAAAACAAAACAAAAAAAAACTGTATGTATGCTTCATAGACAGTAAAAAGCACAAGGGAGTTTACTTATACCTTTACCCACATACTGTGCTGCATGAATAATTCAATTTTTCTTATATATTGCTATTAATGCCTGATTTTTTTCTTTCAGTTTTGTTTTTGTTTGATTTTCTCAATGTTGTTCTTTACTAGAAGGAGATGTAAATGATTTTATAATTTTTTAAAAATCGCAAGAATTTCCATAGAACTGGCAAAATGTATTAAAAACAGCCTCCTTCAAATACAGCAACACATTATTCCAACTTATAAATTTGAAAATGACGAAGAATAGCGCCCTCTTTGGAGGGTTTTGACAACCTGAAAACTAAGATGGCAGAACCGACAACGAAGAAGTCGAAAACTGATCACAGAATTGGGTAGGAAAACTGCGCTCTTTATAAATTACACAAACTGCGATTGTTATTGTATAGTGAATGACTGTTGTTCAGAGGCAGGAATGATTGAGTGATCTTTTATTGCACGTGGTCATATACCTCGGTATGCACTGGGTTGTTGTTGCCGGCCCCTGCTACTGCCCCAGCCTGTGCGAGTCGTCATGTGAACTGGTCTGTCGTGTTACAAATCAACTTACGTATTGACAAACAACCGACGGAATAATTACTATTTTCCAAATCATAGTATTTTGATAACGTAACCCACACTGATGATTATATGACCCCCGTGATATAATGGTACATCCTTGCAGTCATGTGACCAGCCTCCATGAGTGCCGGTGTCACCTTGATATGTGTCCATTTGCCACCAGGTCTTCGTGCTGCGTACTAGTGGGAAGGTGACTTTTCATTCAGAATTGATCTTCAGGTTTACTATCAGTGTAATTTTCTATAATGGCTGTTAGGTGAGATTAAGTTTATTACGAAATTTATTGTTGATTATTTTTGTTCAGCAATATTTGGTGCTGTGATTTCTATACAGACAGTGCAGCTGTTTGTAAGAATGCATGGGGGAATGTACCAGCACAATGTATACATTTACAATGTATATCATTTCCCCCTACAAAATGATGGTATAGCATTTTGTTTACTTTTCTGTCATTTCTTTGTTAATTTTGAACCAAATCAACACAATTCCCATTGCCTAGTAGTCATAAGTATGACAAATTATTTATTTTGATTTTACTATTCATGGTATGATTTCCATTGACTTGTATTGTGTACCTATATTAATGTGTGTGACATTGTTTCTATGTATATTTTCTCACTAATTAATCTCAGAAACATTGTTTGCTTGTAACACAATCTAGTTGGTTTTATTAAGTCCATTATAAGTTTGATGATCAGAGTACATGTATGATGAATATTCATTATGCTGAATATAGAAACCTGTTTGAACAAGTGAAGTAAATTCTTGCCTTCATTATTAAATATTTCTTGTATGCAGAGAAATACCTGATATTTTCCCCCAAATTCCATTTTCAGGACAGTTTTAATATTAGCTAATGCAATATTATTGTTTTTATTTTATTGCAGTGAAGGTGTATTATTGGGTCTTGGCAACCCACTGCTAGATATTTCAACTACCTGTGATAAAGATTTTCTTGAAAAGTAAGTTTAATATTTTGTACGTTTATGCAGTATTGAGAAAGTATACACATTGCTGTCTAACAATTTATATGCATATATGTTTAATATGTATCATGAGAAATTTAACAAATTCTAGCCAAGGCACGTTACTGCATTAACTGGAAACAATTCAAGAGTACAATATTACCAGTAGTTGTGATTAGCATGAATGTTTAGCAGAGTTTGTTTAGAGTTTTTAAATTTTTTGCCAAATAGTTTAAGGTTTATACTCCTCTTTAATGTTTTTTTAAACAATTTAAAAATATTGAAGTCACCGATCATCTGTTTTGAACATTATGACAATAATTGCTGTTAGGTAGATGCAGACAAAATGTTATTTGGCAGGTGCAACAAAGTTTTTTTCAGTCTGGCCTAACTATGTATTGGCAACGAGACATTATGATCGGGAAATATTATATTTTGGGTGCAAGTTCATTTCAAGCATAGTGTTAATTTTGTTGAACTTGAACACTGTTGCCTGTTGCAGAAGAACCTTCTCGAGCACATTGGGGACTATCAGAACTGGTGAACTTAAACTTTCAGAATTTTGATTGGTCAATTTTGTTTGGCAGCCAACATAGATTTTCATCAAAAATGGCAAAATTTGGGCATTAACCGATCAACTGGATATTTTGTTTCTCAGGAGTGCATTAACCGATCAACTGGATATTTTGAAAAATGACATGTATAATACCTGTATGGATACATATTTAGGCATATTAACTTTAACTCAACAAAGCTGCTCTGTAGCTTTAATCTTTGTTAGTGCTTGCTCAAAACTGCTACTGTGTTTGCTCCACTTTATAAGCTTATCTCTTGTCTTGCCTTGTTTGTGTGCTTGATCATTAAAATGACTTGGTTTGACTGTTTATGCCCCTGTTATTTATGTAAGTGTGTGCTATGAATAGAGCATTTAAGGTATTCTCTATTGGTCTATCCGTTATTGGTTATTTAAGGTAGAGATGCAGTTTACCTGACAGGTATTTTAATTAGTTAATTAGGAAACCAAGATGACCACCCTTGTCCACAAAACTATATATTTCCGGAAAGCTTATTGTATGAATTTTAAAGTTTTGTCAGTATTTTATTTTTATGGACAATGTAGTCTGAAATATGCACAAAAATGTGCTTTTTTGGTCAAAAGTGATTTGAAAAAAATTAGCTTCTAAACCATGCTTCTGTTTCCTGTCAAAATTGGTTTATGGGTACATCTGTTTACTATGAAGAAAGCACCGTCTTGAAAACTGTCTACCAGTTGCCAATTTTGTAGGGCAGCAGCTTAAATTTCACTACTTCAAGTTTATGCATAAATTAACACCCAGGCTAGTCTGAGTCTGTATGATTGCTGTAACACTATTCAACTAAAAACAATGCCCCGACAGCGTTTTGAAGATAAACACATTGTCAATCATTTGTGAAAATTTCAAAATAAAAGGTCAAAGCGTCTAGGAGCTATTTTTTTTTAAAGTTTTGGAATGTGCACTAAAAAGAAGCGGAGATAATTTGCATAACAATTCACTCAGTAAGAAGTTTGCCAATGCTCATAATTAAAATGGCTGTTACAGTTTCAAATTTAAATGTATTACAGTTTTGTAAAAAGTTAAATACAGTGCATAATATGGAGATCCCGTCATTTCTTTTTTTTACCATGTTTTTTTTTTATTATTTATGTACAGCCTTACTAAATCTTGCTAAGCATTCAAAAGAGATAATTTTGCACCTGTTATCTATATTTTAAAATCGTTTTTTGAGTATGTTCCACTATTCACAATTCTACACAATTTCAACAGTCTATAGCCAAGACTTTTTGGATAATAAAAAGCAAAAAAAAAAAAAATTCACTCCCAAGTGTCCACGAACCTGCATCTCTACCTTAAATAAGCCATTTATGTCATTTATATGTAATATACACCATTTATTCACATCAAGTTTCAAACTTTGATGAAAGACACTAGTTGCCACAAATGGTGATCTTAAATTTCCCAGTAACTCAAATGAAAATCTAAATTACACATCAAGTTTGTTGTATTTTAGTGTGAAAGTCGTTATCTGACAAATTTACTGGCCAGTTTCCATGCCATAAAATTTGTGTAATGTTCTTCCAGAAAATTCCTTCCAAAATTGCTAGATAAATTATTACTCTGCATGGCAAAATTTGTCTGAACCAATCAAGTTACAGAAGTCAAGAAAACAATAACCTGCCTCCAATGATAGATTTGTTGACATTCAACCAGATAACATTTTTTTATTTTCTCATTTTGAAAAATCATGATTTCATCAAAAAATGTGCCAGTTTTTTTTCTGTAGCCATCAGCTGAAGATGCAATTCTTGTTAGGCTCTATCATATAGATAACACCCAATACAATGTAAGGTTTGGTGATAGTAATAAACGATGGAGGGTTGTGTATTTAACACCTTTATTAATAATTATAAATGTATGTAATGATGAAGAGTATTGTTTTGCTCTGTTTTGTAGGTATGGATTGAAGCCAAATGATGCCATTTTAGCTGAAGAGAAACATCACAAGATGTACACTGAAATGGTGGAAAAATTTGATGTAGAATACATTGCTGGTGGTGCGACACAAAACACAATCAGAGTGGCCCAGGTAATGATTTTACAGAGAAAAGAGAAATATGATGGTATAACACAAAAGAATGGCCAAAGTAATGAGTTGTTGAGCAATAAAGAATCACTGCCACCCTAGGCAAGTGTGCCATGGACTCAAATAGAAGGCCAAATTGACTAGCAAATTTATTCCCTAACACAGTAATACTTTCTGATTCTAAACATTTTGTGGAGTATTGGTAAGTTTTGACCCTTGTGCGTCCGTGCGTCCGGACCTGTGTCTTAGAAATGCCTGGATGAATCATAATCAAACTTCACACATACATCATATACATATGCACATCAATTTGTTTCACGATCTGATTCAAGATGGCCGAATGGCGGCCATTTTTGTGCTAAAAATCATCAAAAACAAGCATTTCTCAGCTGTTAACAGATGGATTTTGTTCAAACTTGGTATATACATTAGACATTATAGGACCTTGCTGCACATTATTTTGTTTTACGATCTGATTCAAGACGGCCGAATGGCGGCCATTTTTGTGCTAAAAAATCATCAAAATCAAGCATTTCTCGGCTGTTTACAGATGGATTTTGTTCAAACTTGGTATATACATTAGACAAATAATTTAGTTTTTTAGATAAGATTCAAAATAGCCGACTGGCAGCTATTTTGTTTTAATGAGTGTGGTTCTCGTGCCATATCTCTGACTTGCTTTCACTGATTATGTTCAAATTTTAAATGTTCATTATACATCATGTCATAGATAGACAGATATATTGGTTTGACGATCCTATTCAAAATGGCCAAATGGTGGCCATTTTTGTGCTAAAAAATCATCAAATATCAAGCATTTATGGATGGATTTCGTTCAAACTTGGTACATATGTTAGACATTACAGGTTCCTGATGCACATCATTTATTTTTCAGATCGGATTCAAAATGGCTGTCTGGTGGCCATTTTGTTTTAGAGCCATATCTCTTAAATGCTTTCATTGATTACATTCAAATTTTATATATTCGTTATACATCATGTTATATATATACATGTATTTAAAATGGCTGATTCTGAATGCTGTTCCAAAGCAATATCTCTCAATATGGACAAGTACTTTTTTGACGATCAGATACAAATGTCAATCATTTTAATGTTAAAAAATCATATTCTTGACATGGTTATATTCCAGCTATATTACTATAAACAAAGCTATATATCTTAAATTTGATAACTAACGGGGACTGTGCCATGCATGGCTTGTGTATATTAATATTTATATTTTACAAGTACAGTAATGAATATGCAAACAAAATTTACACTCTGCTTTTATTACTCCCCCTTCGGACACAGTCCGAAAACGGGGACTTATGTTTTGACCCTTGTGCGTCCGTGTGTGCATGCGTGCGTCCGGACCTGTGTCTTAGAAATGCCTGGATGAATCATAATCAAACTTCACACATACATCATACATACAAATATATTGGTTTGACCACCATATTCAAAATGACCAAATGGTGGCCATTTTTGTGCTAAAAAATCGTCAAATATCAAGCATTTCTGGCATTTATGGATGGATTTCTTTCAAACTTATTACATATATTAGACATTCCAGATTCCTGATGCACATCATTTTTAGCCCCCGTTTGGACGAAATCCGAAAACGGGGACTTATAATTCGGTCTCCGTTCGTCTGTGCATCCGTGCGTCCGTCCGGAGTCATATCTCAGAATCCCTTGGACCTATTCTGTTCATTCTTTGCATGTGCCTAGTACCTTATGTGGGACATATGCACATGCAGTGGTTGAGCGATTCGATTCAAAATGGCTGACTGGCAGTCATCTTGTTTTTTTTGAAAATGTTGTATTTTGGACATGCTTTGCCAGTTTTCATTCAAACTTGGTACATAGATTATACATGTCCGGATACATGTCCGGATACATGTCCATGGCGATTTATTTCGCAATTGGATCAAAGATGGTCGACTGGCAGGCATCTTGTTTTTGTTTTTTAATGCGGTATCTTGGACGTGCTCAGTCAGTTTTCATTCAAATTTGGCACATACATGTACTTTATACATGTTAGGATGCATGTCCATGACAATTTGTTTCAAAATCTGTTCAAGGATGGCCGATGGACAGCCATCTGACTTTTTGGCCTTACTACTATATTTCCACAATTTATGTACTATTTTCATTCGTATTTGGCACATACATCATACATATCAGTGTGTTTCATAATCAGATCAAAGATGGCCGAATAACGGCTGTTTTTATTTTGGCCATATTACTATGACACGAAACGCATGTTTTGATGTAAATAAACAATCTGTTGTATACGCCACTTGGAACTCAAGTTTCAAGGACACGCTCGCGACAACTCTCCGCTTTAATATGACGAGCACAAAGAGAACTTAACGGGGACTGTGTCATTTTCAATGACTTGTATTTTTCAAATCAGATTCAAAATGGCTGACTGGCGGCCATTTTGTTTTAATGATTGGGCTTCTAGAGCCATATCTCTGTTATACATCATGTTATAGATATACATTTGTATACATGTATTCAAAATGGCTGATTTTGTTTTAAATGATGCAGTTCCAGAGCAATGTTTCCCCATATGGACAAATACAAATGTCAATCATTTTAATGTTAAACAATCATTATAATCATATTCCTGATATGGTGTGCCATGCTTGGCTTGTTTATATTTAATTTCTTCACCAATTTGACACAAATTAGCAGTGCACATGAGAGTTGTAAAAAATATTTACCATACTTCCCCGATCATGAGCCCTTCTCTGAGTATATTTTTAGACATTTAACGAGTTGAGGGCATCCACGATTATAAGCCCAGGTTGTTTTTACCCAGCATTGAAAAAGTGTAAAAGTGTTTCATTGTGCTTAGTGCGGTAGTTTGGTCCATGAAACCTTGTCATTGGACATAGTTTTACTTTTCTTAATAATTGTGTCGATTGAGACTATCATGAATGGGGTGTGAACAAGTAAACTATTCTTCGGTGTGACCTGCTGGCGACCGTGAAAGGTGTTTAAATACTTACCTCCACATTCATTTTTTTCTTTTTTTTCATTGAAATCTGTGTTAACAGATCGCATTTCATGGAAATTCACTTCTGCATTGCGTTAAAAAAATGACATCATCAGTAATCAGAAAACTACGTCAGATGACACAGCACTTTGATTGGGTATTGAAAGACATGACCTGTTATGTTCAAAGGACATAGTTTCGGGTTAAATCGTGCTGAAAAACATCATGGCAGACATTGCTTTGTGTGTTTGTGTACGATCGAAAACATCCCACATCAGAAAATTAAACGATATGCAAATCATATTGTAATAAAATGTGTGTATTTTATTGTGATGACTTGTTTCGCTTGTCTTTTTCTTCAAAAAGACGTAGTATAATTTTTCGTGGGTGGTAAGATTGGGTAGCGGTAAACCAAAAAAAAAATGTTCTTTTTTGAGGTGGTCCTAGAGTATAAGACCACCCCTTACTTTCTCCATCCGTTTTTACATGTTGAGGCCCCTGGGCTTATGATCCGGGAAGTATGGTAATAGCGTCACCACCGAAAAGGACGGTTGTACTTCCCCTCCACTATTGTTTGGGTGTTTACGTTTGTGTTCCCCTATCCCCTGAAGGACTATAAAATAGACAGGGTATAACACAAAATATTTTTGGACACACTGCGTACCAAACTTTTCATAAGTGAACATTATTTAAAGTATCCATAGCAGACAGTTGAATACCAAATAATCAATTTCTCATTATTTTATTTTAGTGTAAAATGGTACGTAATTTTCAACTGCCAGTTTTGAGAAATCTTCATGAAATAAACCAAACTTACCATGTACATAATGTAACTTTTTTTATATTATGATACATTCTTTAAACTTTTCACACTGTTGTCATAAAAACCAACAAAACATTCTTTTTCTTCAGTGGATATTAGGTGTTCCAAATGCTACATCATATTTTGGTTGTGTTGGTAAAGATAAATTTGGTGATACGTTGAAAGCAAAGGCAGAAGAAGCAGGAGTGCGGGTTCATTATCAGTATGATGAGAAGGAACCTACAGGAACTTGTGCTGTTCTCTTGACCGGTCATGACAGGTATGAAAAACATTTACAATTCTCAATAAAGATGTTGATCTAAATCATCTTGTATTCGGAGTGTATGATTCAAAATTACTGTAGAAACATTTAATTTCACGGTTTTGATCTGTCCAAGCTTTTCATGGTGTTTAAATTTTGCGGGTGTCGAAAAATAAAATAAAGGGTCAAACCACATGAAGCAGTCAGTCAATGTCTTGTTGATGCCTGACACATGCAGCCTTCAATAGAATGGGTATTTCCAGCACACCTATCAGTATTACACAACAACTATTTGCAGCTCATTACAGTCTGACAATTGATCACTGTATCCAGACAGTCTAAAAATGGTATACAAAAAGTATCTTCCCTTAGAAAACATAATTAGTGTTTTCACTGCTTTACATACTTTAAACATAATAGGACCTTGATGAATTTAATTTTTTTTTTGAATTGGGTTTGAAATGGCCGACTGGCGGCCATTTCGTTTTAAAGAATTCAGTTCTGGATCCGTATCCGAGACATGTCTGGATTGATCAAGTTCAAACTTCACACACACATGGTACATCATGTCACAAATAGATATGTGCATTTGTTTCATGATCCGCTTAACAATAGCGGATGAAGAAACAAAGAAACAAACAAGAAATGTCATGAAGAAAATAATGCATATTATATTATATTCATAACATATTCCCCTCCCTCTTAATTATATCGCCGACAACTTTAGAGAAAGACGTAGCATGGATAACAAAGCAAAAACTAACACTAACAAATTTGGTAGAAAATTAATTGAGCTTTGCATGGACAGTAACTTGATTATTCTCAATGGGCGCACCATTGGTGATTCATCTGGTAAATACACCTGCTACACAGCAAATGGGTGCAGTACCGTTGATTATGCAATCACATCTACTTTTATTTTTGAAAATGTTCAGTATCTCAAAGTGCATGACTTAACCTGCATCACAGACCACTGACCCATATCACTGTCACTGTCTCTGTCTTTTAAAATTGATATTAACAATATTAACATAAAAAAACGTGAAGGCAAAATGGACATGAAACCACTACCAGCAAAATACATCTGGGACAGTGAAGCAAAACTAAAATATAGGCAACTTCTTGAAATTGCTAAAGAAAACGAAATTAGCGACATTATAAACAAAATTGATTCAAACAATTGTGATGATGTTGTTACAGAATTTAGTGCTTTGCTGTCATCAGTCTCGGACAAAACTGTCAAAAAAATAACACCCACAATTAGAAAAAAGAGAAACCAAATTATGGTTTGATAGAGAATGCTGGGAAATTCG